GGGCTCCGGATGGAGCAGCTGAGTGCGTCCACCTGGAAGAACCTGGAGGAGCCCTGCGAGTGATCTTGACAGTGGCCCCAAGTGCTGACGGCAGCCCCTCGAGGTGGTGCCACATTCTTCTCCAGTTTATTAATCCTACTTCCTAAAACGTCCGCAGTGGACTCAGACGTTGCTGTCACCGACCGTCTATCCTGCAAGGTGCTCGGGAGAGGCCCATGCTGAACTTGGGGATGGGGTTTGTCCGCGCCTGGAAGTCCCAGCAGCAGAAGCAAGGGGCAGGTTGAGAAGGAGGCAAGGAGAGGGGCCACGGGGCCATTCAGTCACCTAGGAGTTCAGAGAAACTGGGCAGCGGGGGTGGCACCTCAGTGTCATTGTAATTAGGATGGAAATCTGAGCTTGTTTAATATTCACAATGTGTCCTAGCCTGGTATCAGCTCAGGCAAGAGGGTCAGAACCAGTCCCTCTCTCTGCAGCCCCTCCCCTGACACGGCATCCTTCTCCCGCTTGTCCCCCTGAACAAGAGTGACTTCTCTGTGGCTGCTCCACCCGGGCAGCTTAGCGTGTGGGAGAACATCTCACTGGACACAGCATGTTTCTCTCCCTCATGAGGCCTTGCCCACTGTCTTAGTGACAGAATCTAGTGTCAACTTGTGGAGGGGTGGAGCGAGCCTGTCAATCAGGTTGCAGCTTGATGACCTCATTTGGAGGCACTAAGGAGATAAATAGCTCCCTGGAGGCGGGACACACTCACTCCCTGGGAGACATTCCTGTTGACAAGCCCCATGGAGCTATGCAGATGGCACCCAGAGTCTTGGAGCTGAAGGAGCCACATGGAGACCCCTGCCAGCGCTGAGATGCTTCCACCGCCACTGGATCCACAAGACTTTCCACCCACTGGCCTGTGATCTTCCTGCACTCAGTGTCACTGCATGTGTTGTGTGAGCCGGAAGAGGAATTTACAGACTGGTATCAAACATATGGGCTAATATCGGACTTATGGACTTGATTTGGACTGGGCTGGGCTGTTTTCTTAATGTACAATTACTCTTTACACAAAGCTCTTTCCTATACACATATGAGTGTCTATGAATTTGTTTCTCTAATCTACCCAGACTAACACACTCAGATAAGTGGCTCATGGGATATTTTTGCTCTGATTGACAGACTAAGCCCTTCCATTTCCTACCTCTGATTTCTAGTTCCCTCCTTCTCCATGACCACGGGAATATCAGAGGGGGACCTGAGAGTGTGTGGGAGAGGGGAGATAAGACACAGCAATAAGAACAACCCTTTGAGAGGAAACCCAGTATGAACCAGTTGGCGCTGGATAGCACCGATCTTGGTGAGTCCCAACCTATTCCCACTCTCGCCAGGTGTCAAGTGTGATGTCGTCCTGTGGGTCTGAGCAATAATGGGCTCGGGAGTCTCGGGTGGCTGTGCTAGGTGTCAGTGACCCTTGAGGGCATGTGGATGGCAAAGTGGCTCTAGAGATGTCCCTGTAGCTGGGCTTGTCCCGGCGCGGGGCGGCCTGGAACTCACGCCTGCATTTCTGTGGGATGGAACAAGTTCTGACTGGCGCCAACCAGTTGTGAATGATTTAAACTAGATGAAGGGGGTTCTTTCTGGGTCCAAGCAGGCTTGCTCCGATTCAAAGTGGTAAGGACAGACTTGAAGTGGTTTCTACTGTGTTAGTCTGGCACGGACTGGTTCAGGCTAGCCACATTATATTTGATCCAATGGCTCATTTGGCTTGGACCAAGCCAGTTCCATCTAGTTTGAAGAGGACCAACCGGTTTAAACAGCAACGAGCCCCAGTTTGGACCAGCTCTGGAAAGGTGAGCGTCTACATCACTGAACTTTAGCTGTGAGTGAGCCACCTTTCGAATTCAGAGGCACGAGACCTGAGACGAAAGTCTACCGAAAGTCTTCCTCTTCTCATCACGTTTTCCGTTTACGATACATGTTTAAGGATGTGTCTAAACATCTACGCTTAAGGTCGTTTTCAAGGGCAACTGTGATAGGTAGGTAGACAGTCAGCCCCGCCAAAGCCAGAACCTGGGTCAGGCAGGAAACCTGCCCAAGAGGGAAGATGCAGGTTCCGCTGAAATGAGCGGCTGAAACCTGCGAGGCTGTCAAGGTTGGAGTCCATGCGGTGGGTCCATGCAGTGCCGGCTCTCCCAGGCGTCACTGCAGCGCCGACTCCGGCACACGCCCCGCCCCAGCGCCTCCCTGTGTTAAACACGGTCCGCAGCGTGGCCTTGGGGCTGCGCCTCTGAACTCGGGGACGAGGCATGTGAGGTGCGGGAGGATCCCTGTGGCCCGCAGTCCCCACCGTCCCGCCCCAGCACACAGCACCCTCTCACCTTGATCCTGCTCACCGCTTCCTGGGCCTGCATCATGCGCACATTTTTGGAAGGGGTTTTGTCGGACAGGAGCTGGGTGGAGCCAAGGTAATTGGCAGCAAAGATGATCCCATCGATCAGGTCTTCGGGGTCACACGGCCCGGGAACTGGAACACACAGAGGCAGCCCCGTGAGTGAAGTCCCAGTGAGGGAGTTGGGGAAATCAGCCCCCCTGCTGCTCTCCACCCACCTACATGGGCGAGGGGTCCTGGGCAGGTGCGTTTTCACAGAGCGTAAAGCATTCCTTCTTAGAGAGAGTCACGTTCCCCAACGGTATTCGGGACGATGCTCAAACCCAAATCACTGCTATCAAGTCCATCCCGGCTCAGAGGGGCGCCCCCAGGGGGAAGGGTGGAACCGCCCCTGTGAGTTTCCCAGAAGGCAACTCTTTTCAGGAGCAGAAAGCCCTGTCTTGCTCCTGAGGAGCGGCTGGTGTTTCAAACTGCTGACCTTGTGGTTGGTAGCCCAACATGTAACCACTACACCACAAGGGCTCTTGTTAGAGATGATGGGAATGTTTCAGCATCAAAGGGAACAGACAGTGAAGAGGATGCCGTTTCTTCTCTTTTTCGGGTGGGGTGGGGAAGACGGTTCCTTCTGTTAGTCTGTGAGCTCTCTGGGGCAAGGACCCCAAACACGCAAAAGAAACCTGAGAAACTAGGTAAATCCCCCCCCCCGAGTGTGTCTTGGGTCCTGGGCCCCAGGGATCATGTAAGAGAGGCCCTCTCTGCACCTCATTCCTGGGCACTAGCCCTCACCAACGGTCACTGTCAGCGTCTCGATGCCAGACTTGCCCTTGGAGTGATGCCTGGGCATCCTCTGGCCACTGGGAAAGGCTCTTTTCAGGAACTGGCAAACCACCCCACGCCCCCAAAACACTTACTGTGCTCATTGGCAGCACATCAGCACCACCTCTAGCGATAGGGTGGCACTGAGTGAATGAAAAACAGGTGACTCACTTGGGGGGCGGGAACTCCCTGAGCGGTGGGTGTAACTGGGGCCCAGCCCACCAGACCTTTTGGTTGAGTGCCCTTGTGCAGTAGGCAACCTGTGCAACCAGGTATGGAGGCCCTGTGTGGCATCCTGGCTACAGAAAGAAGTCTGGACTCAGATTAACTACCGAGCTTTTAGGCAAGTTCTTACCACCTTCCCAAATGTTTCCGTTTTCTCATCCGTAAGAAGGGGATAATAAAAAAATCCCCTTCAGAAGATTGATGTGAGGATTCCACTAAGCATCACATGGAAAGTAACCAGAACTGTACTTGGACCCCAGGGATCAGGGACAGCCCTCCCCAACTCACCATGGGGTTCCCTTCCAAAAGACACGTCTGATGCAGCCGAATTACCTCATTTTTCCCCTTCAGTTTCCATTACTAGTGCATGTTATTAGTTGTAACTTCATACATCTGATTTCTATTTGTCTTTGGGGGCTGGGAGCATTACAGATAAACTTAGAGCGACAATGACCTCAGCCAACGGCGTTCCCCACTGTGGTACGTACAACAGACAATCAAAAGGATAGCCCTACTTGTGGTCCGTGGAGGCAACACACATCTAAACCGGGGTCAAGCTGGGCTCCAGTCAAGGTGATGGGTCCTAGTTCATCCAAGCAACAGAGAAGGGGATTTTGGAGACGGGCTTTCTCGTAAAAGAGATTCGAGTTTCTCCTTGAAGGCTTGGTCCCACTTGGATTGTCCTTGATGGGTATAAGGAGGGTGCTGCACATGCACTAGAGCTATGGAGACAGGGGTTTCAAACCCAATGTGACCATGACCCTGGGCTCTGTGTCAACACAAGGAGAAACGACAGGTCGCAGAATCCTCGGAGAGGTTCAGGCCTATCACACTTTGAGCTTAAGATCCTAACACTGTTGAGACAGTAAATGTTGACGGTCAGTGCGTAAGTGACTTGGTGGGCATTCTCCTCCACTGCCACTGTGCAGCCTGGTGCTGCAAACACCCCACATGTAACAGGTTCACGAGTGACTCAGTGCTCAATATTGTCTCCGCAGCTCTTACCTTCGACGTAGGTTGGGAAGGACGCCAAGCTTTTTCTTGACTGTAATTAAGACAAAGAGGTTTCAAAGAGGGCAGAGAGTGATACAATAGGCATGAGCACAACCGCTCGAGCAACATGAAAAATAAAAGCACCACTAGTGGCAGCTATTAACCAGAGAGTGACCATTTTGGGTTGAGGAAAGCAAGAGGTGGGTAAATATCTGCATTTGCTATTAAAGACTACTCAACGCCCAGGAGCGTTCATTCGGATTGCAGATTATCGGAACATCCCACATCCCACAACCAGAGAGGTGTCTGTTGGCTCAAAAATGGTCCCATCGACCCAAATCTATAATCAACGACATCAATGAAAGGGCGTAATTTGTATCCTTACGCGTCTCCATTTCCCAGTGAAGAAAACTGCAGAAGCGTCAAGAATATCAACAATAGGACCATACACAGGAATTAGGAATCTCCTTTGAGACACGAGTAAATAATATGCGGGTTTTTCCTTCCCAGCACTGATTTCTCACTGTGCTACAAACATTTGTTAGACTTCATTTTTATCTCTTCCTGAATTATTTTAGTTTAAAAATTCCATTACATAAATCATTCTTGTGAGTTCCTTTAACATAAGGGCACAGCAAACAAAGAAGAAAATGGAAAAACACAGTTTTGTTTTGTTTTGAACATTAAGTCCCACCACCCGAGCAAAGGCTGGCTTATTGGGTGTGCTGAAAATCTCTGAGGTCTGAACAGGATGGTATTCTAAACACGTGTTCTCAGAGGACCCATACTTACCCCTCGGCTCCTTTTGCTACCAAACGTGCCAGCGCTAACTGTGAGGAGCTAAGCGTGGGAACGCCATTGCTTCACTAGTAATAGGGGTTGTGGCTGGTATGTCTGGGGCAGGGCACTGCGCATTTGGGGAGAGTGGAAAACTAATGTTAAAGAGAACTCACAAAATGGGCAAAAGCTGGTATCAAAGAAGAGCTTACACAAGGGTTACTTTCAGAAATCCCAACGATGTCCAATGTTGAGACATCAGGTGGTTATTTTCACACATCCTTTAGTGGCCAGGGACCTGTGCGGCACAGCCACCCACTAGGATGGCCTGAAGTGATGGCAATGTTGGGGTGCCTGCTGGGCTGGAAGAGGGATGGCGCCTGGACCTGCCGTGGGAAGCAATTCCCTATCGCTGCACCGTCTACGGTGCGACTTCGCTTGGGAAGATGGGAGTGGCCATGAGACAATCAATCAGTCCATACTTACACAACACTCTGAAACAACAGGACAACCAGTAACGTTCAACAATGTGTGAAGAATCGGTGACACGGACACAGCTAACCCGCTTCGAACAATGGCACGGATTTAAATCTAACTGCACCATGCCCCGCACAGGGCGAGCCGTCGCGAAAGAGGCCCGGGAGTGTGTTCAGTGGGATGGAAAGACCCTTCCTGCCAAAGTGGGTTTTTTGCCTTGGAAAGGGTCAGCTGCTAAGAAACTGAAGTGGGGCACACGCTCTGTGATGGAAACAACTCAAGTCCAACAGGTGTAGACACTGATTTTACTTCCCCTTTGGCCAACTGAGAAGACGGGTTCGGCCGATGGTCAACAGCCAAGTGTGCCTGCGTCTGATGAGTCTGAACATGAACACAGGCGTGACTTCATGCGGTGCAGACAGATGTCAGCTTCCTCATAAAGGCCATGAGGGGTGTAAACGACTACTTGTCAACCACCCTCCTCTCACCCTACTACCCCTGGTAACTAGGAATTGAGTATACCGAGGTGCCTAATCCTAATGGCTTGGCCTCTCGATACATCCAAGAAGCCAATTTAGAGTTTTTTGGGCTATTAGCAAGCTTTTCTGAATGCTAATCTCCAGAACCGTGTCCAGATTATAGCAGAAGCTGTCAAAAAGAAAGAAAAGAAAAGACAAAGACAAAGAAAAAAAAAAGATAACTTGCATCTATGGCTCTCAAAGATTCTATTTGATTTAGATCCACAATGGAAGGCATTTGGTAAATTTACTGATTCTCTATGCACAAGTTTATGAACTGGCTTTCTGTAGTCTCTAGGTTAGTAAGAATTTTTTTTTTTATAAAGAGGCTTTTTGGGAACAAAAGCATCTCTAATTATTGCACACAAAAAGAAGATTTTCATCATTATTTCCCAGGATATGCAGAAGCATGTGCCAAGTCTTGTAGGAACTGAGAAACTAACAAATTTGCCTTGCTTATTATATCTGGTGCGTCATCAAATGCAGACTATTTAGCTGTCTGAGAAGGCTTTTGTTTGCTCATATGTGGACTGAGATGAACATCGACCGAGCCCTTCACGTTCAAGAATTAATAAGTCAACTCACAGACAAGACAACGAAAGGCTGACACCTGGGGATTTTCCAGGGGGGTGGGGTGGGGGGACCTCACACAATGAGATGCACAATGCAAAGCCCGAGGGTCTGATGATTGTAATACAATCGACCACGGGTGGGTAGATGGTGACACTGCAAATCTGGGTGGGTAGATGGTGACAATGCGAATCGTTTGCATCCCCAGAGCAGCAGGTCCTGGTAGCGAAGAGCCCGGGGCCCATGGGAACTGTGGATTCGAATCCCGGCTCAACCACGTCTGAGATCGGAGTTCCACAGCACCTCAGCTTCTTCCACTAACAAACACGGTTGATTCTCCCTACCTCCCAGCATGATCCCAAGGACTCCGTGAGGCATGAGCTGGCATTTGCTTAGTCCTATGGCTGGACCACCAAGTGTGCTTGGGGAGTGGTCACTCTCACTACTGTCACTCGCCCTGGGGCGGTCCTTCTTTTCCTCCCGCTGTTCTCGCCCACTGTGTGTCAGGGAGAAGGTGCGGGGGTAAAGGCGGGAGGTGCCGGGGTCGGCAGACACTGGGGCCCTGCCCCTCCTGGTCTAGTGGCCTAGGTCTGAGGATCCTGACCGAGGGAGGACAAAGCCTATTTCAAATCGAACTTCTCCTTGTGGCTATAGTTTCCAGAGAGCATCTCTTGATGCTTGCTTGGTTTTATATGACCATAGCGATAATAATAATGAAAATAAAAGCATCTGCTTCTCTTCTTACTCAGTACTTAATGGCAAATGTAGATGTGGCCAGTGAGACTTTAAGGGGACGTCTCAGCTCAATGGTCCTTCCAGAAGTGATCCACCACAGGGGTTAAGAGGTGGCTCTTCCTTCGGCTGCCTTTCACATGCAAAGGAGGCGCAAAAGGAGGGAGAGGGAGCTAGCTGGTCCTTGTCCTGGAGTCTTGAGCATCTCCTCAGTGCTGACTCGCAGCATCCTCGTTAGCGCAGATGGACTCAGACACGGATATGGCAGGGGAGGCGCAGACTAGGAAGCAGGTGTGACTGGCAGGTCGAAGGAGAGCACACCCACTGCCAGAGTCCATTCCGACTCTTCTGGGCCCTTTATAGGGTTTCTGGGGCTGTAAGTCTTCACCAGAGCAAGCAGCTCCTCTTTCGCCCATGGAGCAGCTGGTAGATTTGAAGCAGTGGCCACTTGTTACCCAGCAGCTCCACCGGAGTGACGGGTAGCTGGCTGTCAGGGGCACCCAGTGCTGCAGAGGCTATAGGCTCCCTTTATGGAGGGACACTTGCTCTTTACAGCCCCAGCACCCTAAGAAGCAAGCAGCACAGCCGCACTTCACCCTTCTCTGCTGGAGGAAGCACGGCGTGCCCTCTACCGTATCATCGTAGCCCTAAACAGCCCGTGTTAGACCTGCACTGTCCAGTAGCCCTGCGCCCCCCAGGTGGCTAATTCCATGTAGGTTTATTAAGCCTAAATAAAATGAAGAATTCCATTCTTCAACACCAGGAGTCGCATCCCAAGGCCCTGGGAAGCACAGGTGGCTGCGGCTGCCGTATGGGATGGCAGAGTAGTAGAACACCCCCGTCAATCAGGAAAGGTCACTGGGCAATGCTGCTTTAGAGGATGAGAGGGATGCCCACCAGATGGGTCGCTTGGACAACGGGTATAAGCTGGAAGCACCCCTGGGTGAACTGGGACCTCGGCCACCCTGTTCACAGGAAGTATATTCCATTTAGACCTGAACTACAAGGGTATTTCAGACACCAAGCCATGCCTAAACCACATGAGCCACTGACACCTACGAGATCGGATGCACGTCACACCAGCAGGAGGGATGCTGGGCCACTGGGGTTTTAATGTCCAGTGACTAGTCCTGTCCTGCAGCAGTTTCTCCACTGATGGGGATGTTTGCCACCTTCCCTGCTGAATACAAGGAGGGGCCCTGGTGGAGTAGTGGGTTAAGTGTTAGGCCGCTAACTACAAGGCCCACCACTCCATGGGAGAAAGAGGAGGCTGTTGGCTCCTGCAAAGACGGACAGTCTTGGAAACCCTAAGGTGCTGCTCTACTCGATGAGTCAGAATCAACCTAACGGCAGTGGTGGGTGGGAGCCAGGTGCGGCTATTAAATTTCTGAAAAATTCAGAGGAACTGAGTTTTGAATTTCATTTATTAAATTACATTTAAAGACCCTTGCAGCTGGTGGGGATCCAATTGGACAGCATAGCTTTAATCAACCACTCTCACCCTGGACAGGAGGACCTAAACCAAACCAGACTCACTGCCAGGGAGTCGATCCGTGACCCCCACACCCCAAACTCCACACTTTCTGCCATGGAGTTGATGCCAACTCATGGCGACCCTATAGGACAGGACAGAATTACTCCTGTGGGTGTCCGAGATGGTAACTCTTTATGGGAGTAGAAAACCTCATCTTTCTCCTGCAGGGTGGCTGGTGGATTCAAACTCCTGACCTAGTGGTTTAGCAGCCCAGAGTGCAATCCACCATGCTACAAGGGCTCCTTCTGGCGAGGAGAGGTTCATTTGGGTCAGGAGTTCTGGGAGGCTAGAGAGAACACAAACCAGCGTGACCACGCACAGGGGGTTGGTGGCTTTGGAAGCAAAATGGCACCTACCTCTTTATTTGTGGAGGCTTCCGCGGGATCACTGGGGTGGTGGGGGGTACCAGAGGACTCTGCACCCAGGGGCGAGGAGCTGCCAGGAGACGGGGACTAGAACACAACAAGAGAACAGACGCCAGTGAGAATCTGTGGGAAGCGGCCAGCGCCCCGGAAAGGGACACACCGAAATGAACATTGCAAATACAGAGCAAACCTCTTCAAACAGGACCTGCCCACTGCACATGAGTGGCCGAGCGCTCAGGCTTTCTGTCTGACTCCTGCCCTGCTTTCAAAGGAGCTCTTTCAGCTCCTGCCCCCACCCCCCCACCCCCACCGCCTCAGACCGAGTGTTCAAAGAAACGACCATTTCCCTGAAAGTAAGACATCCCCTGAAAATAAGACCTACCTACAGTTCTGCCTCTCGCTGAAATATAAGGCACCCCTGAAAATAAGACCTCCCCCAAAATAAGTCCCCCCAAAGCTACCGTAACTCTGGACTCGGGACTGTAGTGGCAGGCGCCGCTGCGCAGCTCACTGTTGGCCACAGCGCAGCCAGAGAACACAGGAAGTGCGAGGTCTCTTTTAATAAAACAATAAACAATAAATATGTGCCATATTCTTCTTCATGGAAAAATAAGACATCCCCTGAAAATAAGACCTAGCGCATCTCTGGGAGCAAAAATTAATATAAGACACTGTCTTGTTTTCAGGGAAACAGGGTATGGGAGAAAAGTTGAATATCAAAC